ACCTGTTACATGTACATCCATACTAATGAACGCTCAGACCTGTTACTTGTACATCCATACTAATGAAGACACAGACCTAATGGTGAAATCACTCTACTGACCCTTGGATTAAAACCGATGACCACAGACACAGCACACTTACTCCCTGAGCCCCAGTAGATAATGAAGAACAGGAGTTCAGTACTAGAAACTAAACGTAACAGCATGTACTCTGGTTTCCATGATACAGGTGGGAATGAGGGGACAGGTATTTGTTTGTGTAAGGCATCTGTGAAGGTTCAGTCAGTTCATAGTCTGTTTTTTTCCCTTTGTACACTAATATAGGGTTGTGTAGCTATCCACAAACATGCATCACAAGTAATGTAATTAGACTCAATAATTATTTGAGTCACTTAATTATAACTGTATAACCGATTCTTTAAGAGAAATATCTAAATCTGTTGTCAAGTTTACTTTAGTTTTGATTTATTTATTTATGTATTTTATTTTGCTGACTGCTAATATAAAATTGCATCCTGCCACTAAGGTGAATCAGATCTGAAATTCTGAAGATAGCTAAATTTTGCCTCAGGTCACAATTTTCCTCTCAGTTGCTCTGTTTGGTGAATAAATGAAATGCTCATTATAGAAATCGTTTGATCTGTACATCTAGTGGTTGAGTATGAAGTGATGAAAGGATTTTTTTACATTGACAGGAAATCCAACATGTTGATTTTAAGGAAATTCTAACCCCTGTACTACAATGTGATTTTTCTCAATTGGGGAACATAGTGTTCTGGAAAATTCTGAGAATGCAGAATGGTAATTCTTAAGTATAATGCATTTGAAGGGTATTTATTTGCAACTTACTGGAGTAAAATTTCACCAGCTCCTGCAGTGAAGTAAAAGAGGTCGCCGGGGAGATATAATAGCCACCGTTGTCAAGGCAACGGATTTTGTAGTGTTTGATGACATCCCCGTGTTCAGGATCCATGTCTCTGATAGTCAACGAGAATGATCCTAAAATAGAAAATTAACCACACCGATGGTCAACAGGTAACAGATCCACTATGTAGCAGTTAAAGACCATAGCCTCCTTATTACACCTTAAAACTTCCATTATAACTGTTATCTTCTATTAAAGATATGGGAAAATGGCAATAAAGGAAACATAAGAATGATGTGATGTGTTCTCTTACTGGCTGTGATAAAATGGCAAACATAAGGTAAACATTCTTTGTGGCAATAGGTGAGTTTTCAGACAAACCATTAGCTGTCTCGCTTTCTCTGATTAGAAATGACCCAGTTTGATTCCCCGGGGCGAGAAGCAGACGCTCTGCATCTTTGCGACTCAAGTTCTTGAAAAACCATCTAGAAGGTGACAATTCAATGACATTTGTAACTACATGTAATCTATTCTCAAAACAAAACAAGCCACAATACAACTTGAAGATGACAACACAACAAATGTCATATACATATGTTGGCGGTTGCGTACTTCTCTACATCCATTGTGTCTTGTTTTGCCATATATGTACAGGGAATGTAGCCTTCATCACCTGTGGTCAATGACTTGGCAAACCACCAGTCACCATCCCTTCACGAGAAATAGAACATGAAAGTTGTGAAGTTTCCCTTGAAAAAAAAAGCAGTGAATATGGCCGTAGTGTACAGTGCAGATCATTTCATTTTGTAACACTTGACTTACTCCTCGATAATTTGGAACTTGTCTCCTTTTCGGAAAGGCAAGTCATCAGAAGTGACCGGCTTGAAGTCATACTGAGCAACCACAATATCTCCATCTGGAAGGAGATGTGAGAGAAGCGGCGATCAGGTGACTGTGATTAGCTTCGCCAGTATTGTGCATTTTTTTTGGTTCGCAAATCATTAGGTGAAACATCCAGTTTTATGAACAACTGAAGGAAGATACGGTGAAATATCCCTTGAGTGTCACTTGAGTTTTAAAGTATCTTATTTAAGGATGATGTATTAAGACTGAATAATCTGTGCAGTGTACTGTACATATGTACTAAATATTACTTATTAGTGGTACTCTCATATTTTCATATTGGGTCTGTACCTTGAGTCCTTCACTGTGAGCCAACAATAATCTTATGAGACAGTTTCCTGGCCTTTGCTATGAAACTTCTAAAAAAAAACACCTGAATCGACAGAATGTAAAAAAGGTAAATTCCTCGGTTCTGGTTTCGTCGTGAGTCTCATTAAACAAAGGCTGTGGAAACTGTGGCGAGCGAGATGTCACCCTGTAGATAAGGGAGGTATTATCCTTGAAGAGCTACCCCAATTGTGTATCCCTAAAAGCGTGATGCACAGGCAAACTCACAGTGGGCTTCTAAGAACGTGGCTGTTTTATCATTATTACTGAAGTTCAGATGTGTCTGGATGGTGCGCAAGCCCAGGGAGGAGCCCAGATCCTTACAGGCCTCATTCCCAAAAGGCTGAATGGTGCTTCCTGAAGCCAGCAGCAAGTGGGCTTGAAGCCCTGTAACTCCTACAGCAGCGTGTGACGTACCCAGTGATGCCCAGTGCGGCTCTTAATCTCTGCCAGATATGATTGCTTCAGCTCTCATGAATAATAGGGGATTTACTCAGAAACCTTTTCTTTTACATGACCCTCAAGGGAGAGTTATGCATCACTCTTCTTTACTACGTTTACTACTTCTGTGTCTTTATGAACACATTTAAGTCTTCTTGAAACATACAAACATAATTTGGAGAATGGACTCCAAATGACGGGATACTGCATTTCTTAGTTTCAAGCCACAAACTCCCAAGATCAGAAGATCATACAAGAGTGGGTTCGATTGCTCTCTGAGGGAAGAGCTGTGAAGCAAATTGCCGAAGGATTCGGTGACCATGAAATTCCAGGGGACAGATATGGTTTATTGTGCTTTTCATTTCAGTTCTGTTTAGCATGCAGGACATCCATGAGAAAGTGTCTATCGATGTAAGTATCCAGTCTTACTGTTAGTTACGGTGTCTTGTCTGTTTGCATCAGGTACCTGCAAAAGAGAAAACAGATTCAATTGAAAATTGCAATTTGTTCTATTTTATTCTCCTCTACAGCAATCAGAACATTCTAAAACTGTATTAGTAACTATTTTTAACAGAGTCATTCATGTTAAATACTGTTTTGTTAACAGTTTACTTGAGGAGACATAAAAAATGTAGTATTATGCAATAACTTATGTATTAATTAACTACAAATGAAGTGTTAGTTACAAACTGATCTCAGGTTTGTCCATTGATAATGAATTGTCACACATCGTTTCTCAAGCAAGTACTATATTTGTTACTATATCTGTTAATTCTGTAAACCTTTGTGAACTACTGAAGGAACAAATAATGATCAACACATGTAAAATACTGGAGTAAAATACTGTAAAATACTGATCTCATGTATGATCATCATTAATGAATCGTGATGTGTTATTTATCCCAAGCAGTTACTGTATTTGTTACTATATCTGTTAATTCTGCATATCTTAGTGAACTACTGAAGGAACTACTGAAGGAACTGCTAAGGAACTATTGAAATAACAGGTAATGAATAACACATGAAATACTGATGTCATGTTTGTTATTAATGAATCGCCACATCTATGTAATGAGTATATTTGTTCATGATTTGTACTTCAGTAGTAACTGGGTTACTACTAGGTATTTCTGCCCCATCAAGAAAAGTGTTAATGCCGTGTTTAAAAAACAAAAAAGTTACAAAAAACATTTCGTAGCTTCTATGCCATTCGTTTTGCATATCATGACACCTCACCATTGACCAGGCGTTTGCCAGTTCGTTCGAGTTGTTTGTGGCCCTGGGTTGTTCGCTCTGGAAGTTGTAGCTCGTCTCGAGCTTGTGCTTAGGACCACTGCATGTACAACCCATCCTTGGCACATGCAAGTGAATATTTAGTTTAGCTTGGGCAGAAATGAAACAAAGCAAACAACACAGAGCAGCTCTGGTAAACTGAAAATCTAGATTAGCACTTGGTGAAACAGCAAAAAATGCACACAAACAAACAGTGTATAAAAGTGAATAAAATGAATATTTAGGCTACTATGGAGTGAAAAAAAAACTGGTTTGTAATTTAAATTATATCTCCTACCACATCAGCACATTCTCTGTTATATTTTGTTTTTTAATTAGGGTTCTGATTGCACTGACGTGTTTGACGATTCTTGGGCATTAATAAATTGTTGTCTATGATTCATAAGTTACCCTATGCATTTCTTGTTTTGCTGTATGGGGCAGATGGGCATCGTGCTGGAAACCACTTTATCATGTCCATTTTGTGATGAATGAGTGGAAAATTAAATTAAAAAATAAAATCTGTAGAGGTGGTATCTTTTATCTTCCGTGAAAACCATATAGTAGAACAAGTAGGTTTAGGTTAAAATGATGCCGAGTGGGAAAGCTCTGTTGGTCAAGGCTAGCTACAAATAACGCCTCACTTGCTGTATGTTGTCAAGACCACTCTATAGAAAACAAAACAGAAAGCTTTGGTTCTACAGCAGTCTGTTTCTCTGCATCGCCGTGATGGCATGCAGTGACATAATTACTGTTCTAAATTTTGATAGCCCTTTTGAATCAAATTAAAGCTGTTGAGCAGAGCAATGGCAAATTGGTAATTTTCAGACTAGCATCATCTTCTATGTGGGTTTCTAATGGAGGAAAGAAGAAACTCATTCATACGGCATTTCAGCAAGGTATGGGCCATCTGTGAATTTGAACTATGATTACAATGGTGGAGTCAGTCACGTGAAGCTAAGTTCACAATCAAAGGTCCGTTCTTTGCCTAAATGTGCTTGGTTGGCTTGGCACGTAAACAGGCTGGTTTTATGTGGTTTGCTCAAAGGCAGACTGTCCTGTATGTCTTGGCTAGAACATGCCCTTACCTGATTGACCTCTCTAGAGACTCTTCCTCACACTGTTCTCTGGAAATGCGAAGGCACACTGTGCAAGTTCATTCCAGCACTAAAGCAGAGAACAGAACGAATCCATTAGCGTGCCGTAACGTTCAAAGATAATACTGTGTGTGCTAGGTAGAGCCTTATAGAAAATTATGCCTATTTGGCTCCTCTAAGGCCATGCGCTTGTGAAGAACTGTCTACGTCATTTGAATGTCGCTTTGGACAAAAGAATGAATTGAATATTAATTAGAGATCTGAGGTCATAAAAATCACAAAGAATAATACGAATGACTCCTCTTTGTTCCCATTCGAACAAACCTAGCTGTCTTTTTGGTCCATCCAAAATCATTCTTTCAGAATTACTCTCAAATGTAACAGTTTGATAATGTTTAAATGAGTAAGAGAAAGAAATGCTCATTAACTAAGAATAAAACAAAACCTGCAAGTGTCCGTTTCTGTTCAGTTATGAGAACTTGACCAACCCCTAAAGAGACAAGACACAAGATGTAGCATAGATTTTATGTTTCACTTGAATTCACTTGAATTACACTCAACCTTACGGATAGGTTAACATGTTTTAAGTTACGTGCTAAATTTAATCCTAAATTTAACAAAACGTGGTAGGAATTTGATTCTTAGCTTGTACTGCTATGGAATCCTCATGTTGCTTCACTTAATATAGTAAGTTAGTAGAGTTATGTAAGATATGTTGTTGTCATTCTGTATTTGTATGTGTTTTTCCCATGTGGATCATACATAAAAGTGTCCATTGCAATTGTTAAGAAAAAAAACTAAATCCCTCGAATTATCCTTTGATGACCATAGATTTGGAGCTATAAATAAGTACAGTTTTTTTGCATAGGTAATTTCATTAAGGGATGTTACACCTAAAAAACATCTGAAAACTTAAATGGGAGTCCTTCTATTATTGTTTAATAAAATGCAGTAAGAAAATGCAGGCTGTAAGGATTTATACTGAGGGATAATATTTCTTCTGTAGTGCTTTTATTTGAGGTTTTCACACATGTGACATGACATCCACATAAATGTTGCAGTACTTTAAAACGGTTTATTATAGAAGTTTAAAAACAATGCAAGTAAAATGTGAGGATGTTAAACCTTAAAGTGACTTGCAATCCCCTAAACATTGTGACATGAAGAGGTTTTAAGTAACATTTGCAGTCGTGCTGTAAATTTGCTTACACAACATATCTTGTATTGGAAAAGCATCACAAATGTAGAATACTGTATGATTTGCTGCATCTCTGATTGCTACTTGAAGTCTTAGAACACGCATACGTGCTCATTTCCTTGTTACAGTTGCCGATGAAGAATGGATTTTAGCTTAAAGTCCCATAATTTAAGTTCCCATGTGACCTCAGGCTTGTAATTTTTTTTTTAATCAATGTAACTTCTTGTTAGGGTTGCATAAGAGTAACCTTTTAGTGATTTTCCAGTCCTCACATGCTTGCTGTGAAGAGTGGAAAGTCTCCGCCTGCCTGGGCCTGTATGACCGAGACTGTTCTTGAAGCCTCCCACTTTGAAGCTACCATTAACTGCTTGGTACCATAATGCCATGTTACGGAGCCGCAGCCCAAAGACGTGATCAGTGGGTTAGCCGAACCGTTACCTGCAACATAGCCATGCATGAGTGAACAAGCCAACCAATCAAATCACAGAACTCCAACCATGGCTTCCTGGTCTAATATCTCTTTGGGTTGCCATCTTTTCTGAATATTCATCATGTCTAAGTGTTCTAGTGCATTTCTTGTTCAACTTTCATAGTATTAAATCCCACACCTGAATATTTACGGTAATATTTACTCTCATTTAGTAGATACTTTGGTCCAAAGCAACATACAGGTGAGAAGAAAAGCACATTGCAAACATTAATGCTGTCAAGGACTCGACTTGGCATAAGTGCGGCTAGGCTGAGCTTCCAGTGATGCCCAAAGACAAGAGTAAGAAGTATTAAATTTATGGTAAAGATTCATTTTCAAAAATACCCTTTTCAGGAAATGAGAACATGGGACTATTACAGATACGTAGCAACGAGCATTTCGTCACTCAGTGTGAACAAAAAAGGTGACATTTAGCATCAGTGATGAACTTTTAATTGGTTAGGATGGAGAGTGCCTGAAATTCCCCAGGAACATTAATTTAACTTAAAGTGTGAAAAATAAATATCTAAAGACATTATAACAAAGTTGTTAACTGGATGCTTAACTGACCTCAATACAGGACACCATTAGACAATATAGATTAGCTACCTGCTATATATGAGTGCAAATATTAATGTAGCTATTTTCCACAGCGATATATCAGGCTGATGCATGCATAAGGAGAGATTATCAGATTGTAGATGCTTACATGCGGAAAATGTCAGCCCAAGGGTGGGTTACTTTGGGCCTACGCTGTGTGATAAAGAACTGATGCACGATCCAGACACATAGACATATTAATTCACACCAAACCACTAATATCCATCTGTAATGTTCAGTAAAATGTTAAAGAAGATCAAGAAGAAGACAAGAAGAATGTTTGTTCCCAATGAAGGCTGGTGGGTTGTCTGCCAAGCACATGGAATCTCATAGTAGACCACATCCACATATGTCTCAAAATGTTTGGCTTTCACTGTTGGGTAGTCGACATAGTACTGACAAATAAAGATAGGAGATACAATATTACATCATGCCAGCAGAATCTACATGCAGTGTGGAGTGTTATACCCAGAGGCGGAGAGTTCAGGTCCAGAAAGTACAAATCCAGACCAAGATATTGTTTCAACCAACCAGCTGAGAACTCTGTGACTGTGACTCTTTATACTGAACTGGTTGGTTGCAACAAAAATCTTGGTCTGGATTTGTTGGATCTGGTCCACCTCTGGTAATATCTTTACTCCAGGTTTATCCAGAGGTCATATAGCTCAGAAGGTTTTTCATGCCTTAGAGTTTAAAGAAGCGCTTCATTGGCTGGATTTCTGAAGAGCTACCAATCTAGAGCTCAGCGTAGAAGGCTGAGGAGGTGTGACAGTTAAAGGTGTGTCTGCACCTCTGAATTTTTCCAACCACTTGTTCACCCCAAACTGTTCACACTTATTTATAACAAGCTTTTTTATAGCATCAATGTAATGTTTCTTGGACAGAAACGCCTTGCTGTACATTTGAAATGGAATGCATGGTTGAAAATCTGTAATCGGCACAACCTGTTTTGTCAGACGCAGGCTTTTTTATGAGTACCTGGCCTGCTTTTGCATCGAAAGGCCCCCTTTGATGGGTCAAGATTCAATATGTAAGATGTATTTGTCACATGCACAGTTACAGGGGTACAACTCGCAGTGAAATAGGTCTGGTTGTTAAGACTGCAAAGCAAAGGATTAACTGGAATTTCACTGCAAATGGGTGCCTTGGGCTCATGTTTCCACTCTACAAACCCTCTTCCATTAAAAAGATGTAAAAATTTAGGATGTGGCTGGTTGTTAAAGTACTGTAATAGTCGCGCATCAGTGACCGAAAAGGTTAGCTTTACAAAGATCGCCAGCATTCATCCTGAACTGGGTTTATTCAACCAAGCAGCATACCCCGAATGTACCGTTACCCAGCTGAAGTAAGAAATGAAAAGAATTTCAAACAGTTGAAGAGGCATGGGAATTTTTCAAAAGCACATTGTAGCTTGATGGGCCGAATGGCCTCCTCTCGTTTGTAAATTTCTTATGAATATCCCAGAGCCTAAAAGACATTATTTTGTGTGTGTGTGTGTGTGTGTGTGTATATATATATATCAATCATCATATATAAAAGCTTCGTAAATACTGCACTTTACATGCACAATGGCATCTTACAGAAGTTTCAGCTTAAGTTGAAACTTTGATAAGAAAACAATATTTCTTGCATTCAACATTGCTCTAGAATTTTGACATTTAACCAAGCAATTAGCGAAAAATGATTTGTTTCTGTAATAAACATTCACTGTTAGTTTTGTTCATTTAAAGTTGGAGTTGTGCATGCTATGAATATAATTAAACTGGAAACTTCATCAGCAGCAGTGGTTTTGATGAAAAATATTTATGTACATACCTTTTATGTGACTGTGACTTGTGACTTTATAGTACATCTCATTTTGAACAGTCCTCACTTACAAAAGTGCCTCATGCCTGTTACCTTGGGTCTCTCTCTCTCTCACTCTCTCTCTCTGCTACAGCCACTCTCCCCCCAACCCACCTCCCTGTCTTTTACTATCGCTAGCTTGCTACCACGTGACCGTGGTATTGTGCGCCTGAGACTTTGTCTGCTACAGTCAGGCGTGAGCTCTGGGACTTCCCACGAGACCACATTAGTGTATAAATAAATAACTGAAAAGACTGGCTTTCGTATTTGTTTACTCAGCCCCCTCCCATCCTAATTTCCTTTGCGTCCTCAAGGGTGATCAGCAGCGTATAATTAGCATCATTCACGATAATGCATTTCCTCAATATCAAGTATCAGACGAAACGTAGCGGGGACCAACTTCGTTGAGCTTTATATAACGCACATGATAACTAAGCTCTAAGGCTCTTGTTGGACTATAAAGAGGAAATGTACTTACTTTGCTGTTAAACATAGTATGGGTACGGTTATACAGTTATTACAGCGGCAAGTTTACTTTTACGTATGGTTTGGTGGTGACAGAAGAAGCATGATAACCAGTATTGCAGACAGCATTGCAAAGCACATTTTATTCTGCGTGGATTCCTGCTGCTTTCTTTCACAAGTCAGTTATTTATAGTATGTACATTTATACATATACATTTATAGTATGTACTTACTGGGTGTTATAGTAAGAACACTTGTACATCTGCTGGTTCATAGAAATACCTGATCAGGCTCTCATGTGGCAGCAGCCCAATTCATACAACAGTGCACACATGGGTCAAGAGCTACAGTTAGTGGTCAGATCTCATGTCAGAATGGGGGAAAATGTGATCGAACTGACTTTGACCGTGGCAAGTTTGCTGGTGTCAGATGTAGTGGTTTGAGGATCTCAGAAGCAGATTCTTGCCTGGGATTTTCATGCATAAGTACCTCTAAGGAATATATAGACTGTTGTGACAAACTAAAAACATCCAGCGTGTGGACGTTCTATAGCAGCGGTGGCCAATCTTATCCGCAAAGGGCCGCTGTGTATGCGGGTTTTCGCTGCAAGTCCCTAATTAGACTACTAATTAGAGGACTGATTGGCTGAAGAGTCCTCACACCTAGGTTTGAACAGCTGACCTACAAGTTATCCCAAAAACCTGCATACACACCGGCCCTTTGCGGATAAGATTGGCCACTCCTGTTCTATGGTGTGGAAATGTTTTGTTAATGAGAGAGATCACAGGATACTGGTTTAAGCTAATAGGAAGTCTAGGAAGTCTACAGTAAATCAAATAACCTTTCTGTACAACAGTGGTGAGCATAAAACTATCTCTGAATGCACGACAGGTTGCGATGGTTAATCTACAATAGCTGAAGCTCACAGCGGACTCCACTCCTATCAGCCTGGAATATGAAACTGAGGCCACAGTGAGCACAGGCTCCCAGGATGGTGATGATGTAATGAATCCAAATTTCAGATGCAACGTGTAGATGGCAGGGTCAGAATTTGGCATAAATCTATGGACCCAGCATGCCTTGTGTGAACAGTTCAGACTGCTGCTGGTGGCGTAGTGACTGTTCATGACTAGCAGCATTGTACGATATATATCCATCTTTTAATGGTCACTCTCAGCAGTATAACGTGCTATGTCACAAAGTCATCTCCAAACTGGTCCAATGAACATGAGTTCAGTGTACTTCAATGGCCTACCCAGTCACCAGATCTGAATCCAATGTAGAAAACTATGGGATGTGGTGGAAAGGGGGCTTCGCAGAATAAATGTGCAGCTGAGAAATCTGCATCAATTACGTCATGCAGTCATGTCATCATGGATGGAAATCTCTAAGGAATGTTTCCAGCACCTTGGTGCGTCCATATATGAAGAATTCAGGTGGTTCTGTGAGCAATGGGCATCCTTCCCAGAACTCAAATAGTGTTCCTACTTACAGTACGTGACTAGGTAGGGTATTTATGCAGTAAATAAAGTGTCATAAAGTGTAATAGGCACTTATGTAAGTCGCTTTGACTAAGCATTTGCCAAATGCTGTAAATGTAAATGTATTTGAAAGGGCTTCCTCATGCAGTGTGGCATAAAAAACAATCTGAATATGCTTGCAGCTCTCAGTGCATCAAATCCTATGACTAGTTATTAATACAGATAAGTGTTCTGACTGCTGTCAGGAAGATTTCTGACTGACAGAGGCACGTCTGTATCTGGAAAAAGTAAAACGAAATCAATTCTCAAATTCATCATTAAAAATGGCAACATCTGAAGGAAACTTTTTTTTTCTTCTTTTTTTACCCACACTCCATTGCTCTGGAAGGAAGTTATTTAGTGGCTCACGCACATTCATTTCCTTTTTGGTCAGAGATTGTCGGCTTAAACCAGATCTGCAGAAACGCTGTTGCTCTGCGACTGGAGGTGAGTACTACTGTGTTTGCGTGCATACGGCCCCATTTGTGGGTCAGCAGGTTTATGTTAATTTCCATGACGCATGAATTGTGGTGATAACGCAGCAGAACACGATTCCCATGCGGGCTTAAGAAGCAGACGTCCCCAGATCAATTCTGCAAGCTCAAGCAGACCCAACCAACCACAGATACGCAGAGAAGGTCATCTGAGGCACTGTCCACCCACCGAGAACTTGCAAGACTCCAGCCAAGCAGGACACTGCCAGCTGCAAAGACCCTGCAGGTCCATTCACAGCAGAACTGGTGGGGCTTTGAGCAGCTTGCCTTCCAGAGCTGGTCAACGTACCATCAGAGAGCCAATCTGGAATTCCTACTGTCCCCATGACGATTAGAAATTCCACCTCGGGCTGCATTTATTATCACTTGCGTGCAGTTTGTTGTGTCTTTTCCGTGCTAATTAGCACTAACACAGCATTCCTCTACATGCCAACATTGTTACTTATCCACTTGTCAAATTGCTGTGTAATTTTCTTTTTTTTCCCCCCCTTTGCTGAGCAGAACAAAATGCCTGGTGTGTTCCAAGTTCTTGCTGATGTACTTGGCTTCATTATAATCCTGATTCTGCTCAGCCTTTATAAAGTGCTGCTGCTGGGAGAGATTCCATTATGTATATTCCAATATGTTCTCACAGGTTTGTCAGTTGGAGTCCCACGCATCCACCAGCAGAAGCTGGCAGGCCTTAGTGAAATACCCAAAAAGTGTCTGCATGCAGGCTAGCAAGCTGAAGGTAGTGTCTTGCACGGCTACTTTCCCTTCTTTTAGTGATGAAAATGCCACAGGAAGTGATTTACAGATTCTACACTTGTGACCAGAACTGTGGAAACACCTAGCATTTCTGACATTACACTTTAGTAATTGTTACGTGAATATTGGCGGCAATGTTTATAAACAATCAAAAAAATTTTACAAATATATATTGGATGATTAAATAAGTAACTGGAGTAACTGGAATAAAGTTCTGCAAACTGTAAAAACTGGAAGTGTTTCCACAGTTTTGGCCACTAGTGTACTTATGCCCTGATGGTTGACTGGAAAGGTATTTTTTGTTCAGTCAGAAAGGAAAATCGTATCTTTTTAAGGAACAGGCTGTATGATGCCCGACTGACTGACTGACTGCATGCTTGCTCTCCTCCCAGTCTGCTCACCACACAAACATCTGAAGAGCTTCCCCTCCTCTGCTTGTCCTGCCTTCTGACCCCTGTCACTGTCCATGCTTCAGCATCTACAAAATAGTTCATATTAGTTTTACAGGAGCAGTATTGACCTGAAGTGTTCCCCCATTATTTAGTTAGGAGGTCTGTCTCTCTCAGTGCAATTTTTGACAGGAGAATCTCTCTTATAGGGGCAGTATTGTATATACTAGTTTCCCCACACTGTATAATTAGGTAGGTTATTTTGTATAATATAGGTGTGTGTGTGTGTGTGTGTGCGCATGTGTGTCAGATATACATTACATTGTGGGGACCAAATGTCCCCACAATATAATAAAAAACAATTATTTTTATGTTGTGGGAACCATCCCAACAAGAGGAAATTCAGAAACTAAAAATGCCAAAAGTCTTTGTTTGGTTATGGTTAAGGTTAGGGTTGGGTAGGGGTTAAAGTTATCATGTTGGGATTAGAGTTTTCCCCATAGAAATGAATGGACGGTCCCCACAAAGATATGAGTACAGGTCTGTGTGTGTGTGTGTGTGTGTGTGTGTGTGTGTGTGTGTGTGTGTTTGTATGGATCTTCAGCCCACACGAGGCCAGAGCCCTCAGGCACATCAACCCCAACAAAGCAGCCAGACCTGACGGTGTCCCTGGACAAGTGCTGAAGCACTGCGCAAGTCAGCTGTCTGCAGTCCTCACCAGCCTGTTTAACATCTCCCTGAAACAGCCCCGTCCCTAAACAGGCAGAGGTCAGGACCCTGAACGACTACTCTCCAGTTGCCCTGACCCCCATTGTTATGAAGTGCTTTGAGCGGCTGGTCTTAGCACACATCAAGAAGAACATACCTCCCTCCCTGGACCAACACCAGTTTGCCTACAGGTCAAACAGGTCAGCTGAGGATGCCATTACACTGGCCCTCCACACTGCCCTATCACACCTGGAGCAGAGACTACAGCTCCGCCTTTAACACCATCCCCCCCATCAAGCTGGCCATCAAACTGCACAACCTTGGACTAAACACACACCTGTGCAACTGGGTCTTGGACCAACAGACCACAGACAGTGCGCATGGGTAACCACACCTCCACCTCCATCACTCTCAGCACAGGAGAACCTCAGGGCTGTGTGCTCAGCCCCCTCCTCTACTCCATCTTCACACACGACCTGAAACCCACCCATTATTCTAACATCATCATTAAGTTTGCAAACGATGCAACTGTGATAGGTCTGATCTCAAACAACAAGGAGTCAGCCTACAGGGAAGGGGTCGAGAACCTAGACTGTTCGGAGCCAGGACAACAACCTCGCCCAGAACTCCAAAAAGATGAAAGAAATGATCCTGGACTTTAGGAGATGGAAGCACGGGGGCCACCACCCCATCAGCATCGGTCGTGAGAGGGTGGAGGTGGTTCAGAGCTCTCGATTCCTCGGGGTTCAGATCAGCTGTGACCTGCCATGGACCACAGACACTTCAGCCATTGCCAAAAAAGGACTTCAGAGGCTCCGCTTCCTGCGGAGCCTGAAGAAAGCACAACTTCCAC